TGGAGTTGTTCACGGAGTTGGTATGCCTGTAAGGCGCTTCGGGCGTTGCTTAAGCCCAACATTGGCCCCTCGCTGCGGGTCACAGCGTCGAAGCCACCTTTGCTGTCAGTGGCCACAATGCCGCTGAGGAACTTCATCATGAAGTTTGCTCGTGCCACCTAATCTCCTGGAGGTAGTGCACAGCATCCGTTTAACTGGCACCAAAGCAACCTTGTCCGGTAGTTGTGGTCTTCTCCCTCCAGGATACACTGGATTTCGCCATCATTTGTCGAGATGGCTTTCCGGCGTAGGCGCCAAGTGCGCCAAGCCACCACATTGAGCTTGCCAGGCTCTCCTTTGTTTTGGGCTTTGCCTCCCAAACACGTGAGGAGGCCGCCGGTGCTATCGCCTTTGGGGCGATTTGCATGGGCTTGGTCTGCCAGCGTCACCACGGTGGTGTCCTGCCAGTGCTCAACATCGTCCAGCCTCCACATTCTCAATGTTGTAGGCTCCCTGCGTACCTCGATGATGAGGTCTCGAATTTCCTTTGCAACCTGCAGGGTCTTGAGGACGGTGAGCTCGGTCAGCAGGAGGTTCACTCGGGCGCATATTTGCAATTGGGTTTGTGTAGCAACCCACTGCAAGGCGCCAAGTGAAGCGCGACATGCTGCCATTTCTGCTGGTGACATTTCTTGTTGAAGGTCTCCTCGAAGTCGGTGATCATCTATGGCCAGGTCGGGGATCGTCTCGACATAGAAGTCCTGGCTCAGCTGAACCCATCGTTGACCTTGTCGTTCACAGACTTGTAGATCCAGGCCTGTGTGACGGTACTCTTGGGTTTTGACCGTTCCCCACTTGTAGGCCTTGTCGATCTCTTGGCGGACTTTGAGCCATTCTTCACATTCGAGGTTGCCGGCTCTGTTGAAGTCGTCGACGTGGCCGCCAACAAATCCGATGGTTTCGAACTGGTCACCTTCATTTCGAGGATTGGGATTCGGGCGAGTCCAGACCCAAAATGATGAGTCGCCCAAAATCCTCTTTCCACCAAGCTTCGTGAAGGTGCGGTCAACATCTTCCCAGAGTCCTCGAGGTGCTGTGGAGTTGCCGTAGACGTTCTTGAGGATTCGAAGAACTTCATGTTCTTCAGCACCAAGAGCCTGTTTGAGCTCTGGGACACCATAGGTCCAAATCTCGCGGGCTTCTTCAGTCTTGCCCGTCTGGAGGAATGCTGTTTGCATATCGAGACCTTCAAGCTGCCAGCCTCGTTGAGCCACCATGCACAGTGAGAGGTTGCGCATGAGCTGACTTTGCACTGGTGCCGTGGAGTTGAACGAAGGGTCCAAGAGGTCGGGGTGCATGAAGCCAAGAACCACGATTCTCGCCTTTGCTTTGCGAGAGCCATCAGGAGAGTAGGTGGTGTTCTCCTTCTGTGCTGCTTCAAGTGCTTCTTGTCGTGATTCTTCAGGTACGGGCTTCCAGACCAGAACCCATCTGGCTTTGAGGATCCGTTGAGAATCCTTGGCCTTGTTCTGCTCGGAGACGGAGAGACAGCGTCGAACAGCTTCTGAGCGGATGAAGCTGCTGACTTCAGAAGCCTTGGCGTTGTCAAAGAGCTTGCGGTCCTCCGCATTGAGCTTTCTGTAGCAGACTTCAGCGCCACTGACCTTCTTCACCAAGTAGGCCTGAGGATTTCTCATGAACATCTTCCTCTGGCGGTTGGAGGTGAAGTTGAGGTCAAATTCCATCACATAGCCACAGTCAATCTCCTGAATCGCCGTGTTGAGGTCGAGCAGGAGGTCGTCCTTGTCAGACTCAGTGCGAGGTCTTTTGGCATCGGGCTCTTCAAGCGTGTCACCGGGTCTTGTTTCACCCTCTTTTGTTTCACCATCTTCAGGTCCAGGGTCTAGGAGAGGTGTTTTGGAGGTCGTTGAACTTCTCCTGGAACCAGTAGTCTTTTGTTTCTTCCAGGAAGAGTCCTCATTGCCGGTGAACTCGTCATCGTCGGAGGTCTTCTTGTCCTCATAGTCGTTGAGCATCTCCTTGTTGGGGTTGTCTCCAGGTTCGTCAGGAAGTCGTGGAACGAGAGGAGGTGGTCGTAAATCACCAGGAAAGCCAAAGCGGTTGAGCTTGTCCTTGGAGTGAAATCGGACCTTAGGCATGTAGGTTTCCTCATTGGGCTGCTTCGGCAGGAAGGGCTCCAAGGTCTCTTCTTGTTTTGGCTCCTCACCAGTGACATCGGTGTAGGCACGACCAGGTAACATGTCCTTGAGTTCTTTCCACTTCCAGCTGTTGTCCCCTTGTGCTTCCCAAAGAAGTTGTTCTCGTTCAGAAAGAGGACGGATGGAGTGGATGCTAGCTCGGTACAGATTGCTACCGATCACCACCCAAGCTGTTTGAACTCGATCTCCTTCTCCTTGTCCAGGTACCCATTCATGTAGTACCACACGACCAGGTCCAACCCAACGTGGTCTCATGACGTGTTTCTTTCCACCCTTGTGCCCCTTGTAAAGCGTGGTCTTCAAGAACTTCCGCCATAGCATCACAGGTTGGGCGATGTGGTAGGTCCGAATCGGCTGGCGGATGGAGGTGTTCTTGAGCTTGGAGAGGACCACAGCTGCTTTTGCCTTACGGGCGCAATCTTCAGCAAGTTGCCTTTGGTTGAGGAGTTTGGCAAAATCAGGTTCATTGCGATCCAGGGGAGACATCAATTGGCGTCTCATCTCTTCCTCGCCGACGGATGCCTGTCGTCCGAAGGCCCATTGGAAGCTAGTGAAGCCTTTGTTGAACTCGGTGTTGTTGATCGCGCTGGTAGCACTTGCCAGGGTTAGTACTGGATCTTGGTCGGGCATGCTGAACTGAAGCTTAGAGGCTGTAGTTTTGACCAGGTTGATGGCGTTCTCAGCAACACCATGTGCCCATGGTTCTTGGTCGGGTGGATGTATCACCTGAATGCCAACCGAGCCAAAGAAGTCGACGAACTGCTGTGGTGTGAGGCTTTTGGCATTGTCGGGGCATAGAACCTTTGGGCGTGGTTTGTCCAGAAGCCATCTCATGGTAATGGCCTTGATGCACATCTCGGAGTTTTCCACCTTGACCTCGCCGTGCTGGTAGACGAACAGTGGTTCAGTGACTTTGAACCTTGTTGCAACATCAGTCATCAGGAGGAACTTTATCTTGTAGTCCTGATCTGGCACGGTCCATTCGCCAACATCGAGGGCGACTTGTTCCCAAGCTTGAGGAAGAGGTCGTAGTGAACCAGGTGGAATCTGCTTTGAAGCCATGCCTCCTGGTTTGGTCTCTTGGCAGTAAGGGCAGGAGTAGTTCATGGCTGCCTTGATCTTCCATTTCGGGAGGCGTGCATCATGAAGCATGCGAGCCATGTTCCTGTTCGTTGGATGTCCAGCTGAACGATGGAAACGACTGAGCTGAGCTTCCCAGCGTTTCTTGTCTTCGGGTGTTGGTTCAGGTTCATCATCAGGTCGTTCAGCCACAGGAGCATCAGGTTGTTCTCCTTGAGGATCATCCGCCGGTTCTTCAACAGGTCGTAGTGGATCATCGCCTGGAACAAAATCTGCTGGAACCTCAGTGGGCGTGTACTCATCGTCCAGGGCGTAGAGGCTCTTGAAGGCCGGGTTCACTTCGTTGGCTGTCCAAAGAAGCTTTGACCAGCGATCAGGCAGAAGTTGTTTAGCCCAGTTGCGAGCGATCGAACGGCTGAGGTTGATGGGGTAGTAGGCCGTCTTGTTGGTGGTCTCACCATGAATCCAATGATGTTCATGGTTGCCAACGCACCTCTTGTTGCGGAACTCGTTGTAGAAGGAGATGGAGGTCGTGGCGAATTGCCATTCTTTGCGAAGGAAACCACCTTGGTCATCTTTGAGGCCATACCTGCATCCATCAACTCTGCACCACCATACTTCTTGACCAAGTTCAGGCAGGGTCTTGTGGAAGAAGTCGTGGACGATGGGCTCCTTCCAACCTCGGCAACGTCGAGGCCATTCCCAATGTAGTTCGACCGTGGGGTCACACATCAGGATCCATGCCAGGAAAGCCACGAGGCTTCTGAGCATCTTTCGTTCTCGACGAAGGTGCTTGTTGAGAACGTCCCGCCTGTACCAGTAGTTCAGGTCGACCCAGTCACAGAAGTAGGTGCACATTGGAGACACCCAAATCTTCTTAGGCTTTTCCTTCTTGAAGACGGTCTTGAGGTCCTCATAGGTCTGGTCCTTGTAGAGGTCGAAGCCAGTGCTGAGACCAATGCGAACACCATTCAAACCTTCACGCTCACAGCATTGCGTGATGGTGGAGTTTGGCGAACAGAACATTTCCCAGACATAGGGCTTCTTTCCCAGAGGGGCGTTTCCATATCAAAACCCTACGAAATGAGCATTTCCACTACATCACCCCCCCCAGCCCAAGGCATTTGTCAAGCCCAAACATAGCTTGTAGATGGCAACGTATCAAACCTAACCATCCTGCTCACAAAACATCTTCTTTCTCTCTGCGCGTCGTGGGTCCATCTGTGGTGAGACCAAGCGCTGCCCAGGCCAATCAGCACTCATGCCTCACTCACAACATACACAAGCTGTGCACATACAGGCAGAAACACTGCTGGCACCTTACAAGCCCCCGACCCCTGCTTCTTCTCCTAGACGCACAGTGTGCCCCCAGCCACACTTATACAGAAATGATGTTAAGAAGCTACTTGCAACAAAAACAAAGTTTTCATGAGCCCATGAAAACATGGCATGAACAAACATGTCATGAACACATGGTATGAGCTTATGCCAATCACAACTTGTTGAGCACATGCGCACATGCGCACCTGAACACATGAGCATACACGCAGGAAACACACATGGTATGACATGAAGATACATGAACCACATGTCACATGACATGAAAAGAACATACATGAAAACTATATATAGCACCATGCGTGAACACAACACGCGCGTGACATGAACTTTAAAAACATGTTGACTGAGCTCGGCAGGTGCATGAAATCGAGGAAGCAGCAATTATCCAACTGAGGCCCCCACGCAGCAACTGCTCCAACTCAGTTTTGAGTCCTGCAAGGAAGACAAAAGGAAAACGGAAAAGAAAAACAGCGTAGCCTGCGCCCGTCCTGCCAGGTACCTCTGTAGCGTCGAGGAGAAAGTTTTCTTCTTGTGAGTTTTGGAGGCGATGGTCATGATGTCACTGATCCAAGATTCATCAAGCCATGTGGCACCAACCAAAGGATTTTTGCGCCGCAACGTGGAATCAAGAAGGTGCACATATAGGTGAAACTTAGGCCGAATGTTGAACATGTAGTAAGGACAAAACCCAATATAGGATTGATGGCACTGGAGGTAGCTACTGCAAAATATGGAGCCAACAGCTCGGACTTGTTGAATGTCCTGCTCCTCCATAAAGAGGCCATGGTCCCGGCGAGATGCAAACAGCACATCAATCACATTGACAGCACTCCACACTGTGGTCTTCACCACATCATCGCAAATCACATCAGGTCGCTGCAGGAAAGTTTCAAGAAACCTCAGGACAACGTCTGTATGCCAACCTTTCCCTGTCAGGTGGCAAAACTTTTGTGATGTCAATGATAACCTGAAGCGGTTCAGTACCCAATGCTTGGGCAACTTCTTCAACCCATGCCTGGACCACTGCACGATTTGCCTGCTGGCTGCTCGTAATCTTTCTTTCACCTGAGCGCAATAGGCAAGATCAACCCAGAAACAGCAAGAGGCCGCGTCAAAGAAACAATTAATCCAAGAAACATTATTGCCAGGAAACTGGCCAGTTCTGAGAAGAAGCAGTAATACGCTTGCTGCGAGGTCACGGCCTACCCCCAGGAACCACACATGGAGCAAGTCAATTGCCATGTGAGACAAAGTGCTGTCATGCAGCTTGAGCAAAACTGGTTCCTCCGACCAAGGCTCAGTTGGCACATCCACTCTCCACAAAGCTTCCGGCGAGAGGTCTGTAAGTGGCCTCTCCATATCCTTGCTTGCCATGCAGAGAAAACATATTCGATTGGTGGTCGGCTTCCTCTTCAAATTCAAACTCTGAACAAGGTACTTCCAATCCCCTTTGCATGTTGCCACTTTGGCGTACAATCCATCAACTCCATTGTCAGTCCAGTCATTGATGGACTCCACAACAGCCTCTAGTACACTTTGAAGCGTCATGTTCACTTGCTCTCTCATGGCGTAAAAATTTTGAGGCACCAAGGCGATCAGGAACTTGGAGCGTTTTGCTTTGCTCCAATAAGGGCTCTGTTCACTAGACCAGTGCAGGGCCATGTACGAAGTACCTTGGATCTGCGCCTCATCGCCAAACAGCTGCAAGCCTATGGCAGGACAATTTGGAGGACCTGGTCTTGAGATGCCAAACTCTTCCTGCATCAATTTCCAATACCGGTCTGACCCCTGGCCAAGACATTGTTCACTGTAGCCACAAGAGATCAGTTTATGGGCTAGCAGGTGCGGCAGAACTATCGGGAATGGTTGCAAGCTGATGTTACCTTCCCAATCTGACAGCGGGATGTGAATGTCTTTAATCACATGATCAAAGGCAAGCTTTCTTCGCACCATAGCTTTGTACGCAGCATCATCCTTTCGGGCACTTGACCTCGTCGACGTGTATGAAAACAATATATAAGGTAAGCGGTGTTAGACTTTGGGACAAGTAGCTGGAAGAGCTCACTTCCATACACATCCCCAATGCGAATCGCGTGAGCTAAGGTGGCCCTCCCATGGCCAACTTCTGACACGATCCTGGCGTTTGCGTTGACATCGGTCGCTCACGCCAGCAGGTGTATATATGTACACACCTTTCATCAAGGGCACGACGAAGAGCTTGACAACCTGTACCTGAAGAACAGCAGGATGAGCACGTCAAATTGCAGCGGGCGAGCGCAGATGTTACAACGGAAAGGCTTGGTCGATCTACTAGCCGCCTTTTGGTCTCACCTTGCGCTAGATGCTTTTGCGAGGTTCAGGCTCTATACTCTATACTGCAAAACTGGGACCACTGTGTTGCTGTGCAGCGCAGCTTTTGCGCATATTAAAAAACACACGTGTGATCCATTCCCGGTCATCGAGAAACAGGGCTCAAGGCAGGACGTAGCCCCTGGCAGCAAACGTGTTCAGACATGTTCCCAGAACTCAGAAATCCAAAGACTTGCCAAGCTGACTTCTTCAGCTCTTTCACCACAGCTTGGAGCTGAGCCACATGCATGCGAACGTCCCCAACCTGCAAGCATACCGCGCACAGGCTGGACAAGATCAATATGTAACACATCTACTTATAAGAGCTCCTTGTCTGTGACGTCCGTTAGAAACTTTGTAAAGGCATCTTCAGAGGACAGTTCCTGGCACCTGAAACATCAGAATGATTTGACAAAAATTCAATACAACAATGCACAAACGCACGCTCTCAATGTTCACAGAAAACGCCTGCGAAAGTGATTCCGCAAGTTCTCTCCCATACGCTGCAGATCCAGCAAAACCGGATCTCCCTTGACTTTGTCAAATGCAGAGGCGTCAAGAAGCACAGCGTCCAACTTGGCCAGTTCCTTCTTAATCTCTGAGCCTAAAAAAACTGCCCCGTGACACAAATCCTATGGCATCAAACTGAATTATTACTTGGTCTGTTTGACTGATACAGGTCTAGGGTCTAGGGTTTGGGCACGCTGTCGCTTTCTTGTCTTCCAGACTTTTTCCAGCCAATGCAGGGGTAGACAATCTCGACTGAGCAGCGCCCTTTGCCTTCGCCTTCGCTTTGGCTTGCCCTGGCAATTTATAAGGCAATAAAAATTTTTAGACGGACGACGTACAAAATTGTCGAGCCTCGGGGTCGCAATGGTGTTTCTGTAGGGGCTGACGGAGCTGTGGAGGCTGCAGCCGCTGCCAGCTGGTTTCGCACCATCTCATTGGGGTCAGGCACGGTTACCAAAGGAGCTGCTACACTCTTGGAACTCAATGCCTCCATGGCCTGCTGGTTGCGCACCTGCCCTGAAATCGACACAGAAGTCTCCGTGGATTCCACATTGGTCTCTTCCATGCCAAGGGTCACCCAATATCTCATGCTATCGGGATCGTTTGGTGCGTCTGCATCTGGCACACCACCTTTCGCAACCACGGCCTCAATCTTGCGCCTCAGTCACAAGGCAAGAGCACGGATCATATATAGAACAGGCAATGCACAGAAGACTCCCCCACCATACTAAAGATGCAGGGAAGATGCGTGCTGCATCCAAGCTGTTGCATTTCTCTGATGGTCAGGCATCTGCGCAGCTTAGACAAAGTTTCCGATTGCAATCGGCGAGATGCAAACGTGCTCTCCACAGCTTCCAGGTTCTCCCCTGAAGACACAAATGCCCTCAAGGCTGAAAGCTTCTCAGTCTTGGTCCCGCGAAACATCTTCACCAACTCTGGGAAGTCAGCGGCGCGAGGACCATTTGCAACACGCTGGAGGACCATGTACTGCTTGCGGTGCGAGCTGGTGGTGACTTTACCCTCATCCATGTTGGCATCCACAGCTTGCAAAGCCACGGGCGCAGCCGCACGCTGGGCGGCAACCACCATCTCCTCTTCTTTCAGCTGTCAAGAAGGGACGGGTCCGGTTCCTCTTCAACCTCCTTGGGCAGCTCCACTGGACCAACGGCGGTCTCATGGGGCGGCTCACTCACCGCTGGAGGGTGATCACTGCAGGCTCACCTGGTTCCCTGACGATGAGGGAAGTCCACAAGTGAAGGACAACAGAAGATTTCAATTCTCACGCAGCAGGCACTACATACATGACCCATGACCCATGCATGGCAGGATCAACACAGAAACGCATGCGCACATGGCCTAGCATGAGCGTGGCGTGGCCTACATGATGTCATGACAAGAACGGTGTCCCATGAGCCAACCCATGGCATGTCCCACATGTCATGAACAAATGGTAATCACCACATGAATTGTAAACATACGTGGTCCCCAACAATACATGACTTCCGAATTCGGACAACAGGAACCCCTACATGCATATACATGACCCTACATGCATGAGACATGAACCCCTATATACATGAGCAACTCCAAACACCAAAAGCAAACGCGAAAGTACACACTGAGCTCTTCACATCTGCACGGCCATATTGCCTGAAGAGGTGCCACGAAGAAGGTTTTGGCCACGGAGTAAGGTAGAAATGGACCTCACATGTGTCGATCTACTCTCACAAAAATATACCTACTGCACAGACGCGGCCATGTCCGCGCCTCTCAGAACTCACAAAGCTGATTTGCCTTCGAGGCGTTACCATCCCATTTTCTCCTTCAGGCACCGCATCAGGTTGCGTGGCTGGGATCTCGGGTTCCACCGGCGGCGTCTCGGGATCAGCAGCTTCCGGGGCCGAAGGCAGCCCTGGTTGTCCAGGCTCAGCAGGCTCGGCTTCGCTAGCAGGAGCAGGCACGTCAGCTGGAGCATCCGACGGGTGCTTTGTCTCCACCTCCGGAGCCGCTGCAGGAGCAGCCTTCGGCTTTGCAGCTGCCTTTGACTTCCTTTGTTTCTTCATAGGCGGAAGCTCATCCTTCAAGTCCTTGAGGATGTCTCTGGCCTCTTTGACCTTCACACCAGTAGCTTCGGCAAGTTGCTGCGGGGTTGGCTCCATACCACCAAGTGAATCGGCCAATTCTTGGATCACCTCCATGAAGTGTTCTCCCGCCATGAGTCTGGGGACTGTCCCTACACACCCGTATCACGCACGCAGCAGGCTTTTGTCCAGAAAGCGCTCGCAGACACAACATGCACATATTCCAACTTGCAATTTTGTTTAAAAAAAAGTTACGGGTTTTCACGCCGATTACCGGGGTTATCACGGGGAAAACACGGCTTTTCACGGGTGATTTTTTTCCCAAAGCCCGAGCGCTCCAAAATCGCTCACACACGCTTGTTGACCATTTTGGCCAAATGAGTATACGCATTGCCTAATGGCTTCTCCCATGTACTTGGAGGCCTGAAGGCCGTGCTCCCTCGGATGTACGCGATCACTGACAGGGCATCCGCCTTAAAGGCAAAGTGAACCAGCCATGTTGCAATAAACCACTTCAGGCCCGTACATCACACCACGGGTCTGCCTTTGCCCAGTCAATGGCCTGCAAGCATCAGTGCATCCACACTGCCCTATCCACAAGACAACCACCTTGAACAGCTCCAGGTCACTGAGCCCGCGGTTCACAGGTACAGGGCATCTAGGCGGCGGCAACTCCTAATTACTCAACCGTTGTTAACGCTTGTCAAAATCACACAGCACAGTTGTGAAAAAGACTTGCGCCTCCCAGTCTGGCTTGTCCATCTCACCCATAAGGTGTGACAGGTGGACACCGAACCTTTCATGGTAGGTCCTTACACCGGAGCACTCCAAACAAGAAAGCAGCACAAGTGCAAGACAGATGCATCACAGCTTCTGGGACGCTTTCAAAGCATCCTTTTCCCCAGTGAACACCACCCCACCGTCAGCTGTGCGCTGCTTCTTCACCAAGCCGGGGCCTTGCGACAAAGCCTCCAGCTCCTGGCCAGTTAAGTGGCCAGCAGCGGCCTCGAGCCTCTTCAGGAGGCTCCGGTCGTTGGACCACAGCCAATGCCGTTTAGGTGAGGCAGTTGTCTCTTGCAAGGAGTGGAGAGCATATGCTCCTCCCCACATTGCTGCCCTCCATATAGGACAGCTTTGAAACAGCTCAGAGATCCGCGGGTGAATGTCGATAGCTGAATGAGCTGGCTGCTCCAGGAGGAAACGTTGATGTAAAGACAAGGCATAGTAGATCATTAGGGCAACACGTGATGCCAATCTGTTGCCAATATCAACAAAGGCATAGCCTTTGTTTCCAAGCGGGTGGAAAATGCTTCTTTGATGCGAACCAGCAGACCTCAGTCGGATAGCTACATGCGTGGGCATACCCCTGTTGCACCCCTACACAAAAAATGCATCGAAGTCACGGAAGGCAAAAACTCGAACATAAGATAGCTAGTATCTGTAAGCTGCCTTCCTTTGATCGTCTCATGCATTGCAAGCACAGCCTCCACAGCAGAAACAAACAGACGTATACGCGTCCGAAGGTAAGTGAGGGGCCGACGCAAAGCCAGCTGGCGTCAGGAAGTCAAAAGCTTTGTCCTCGTTGTGCAATATTTTGTCCAACGAAACTCCTCGGTATCCTGCCTGAGTGTCAAGATACGCACAGAATACAACATGAGCTTTGCTTCCTCACATGGTACTAGCTGGGGAGACCGCTTGACGCAAGGCTTGAGACACCTTGGCCTCACCACAGAAAAACTCTATGAAGTCATAGACCTCAGGAAGTCACACAGCAGGCGCGTCAAACAAAGGCCCGAAACCAAAGTCTTTGGCCCTAGCAATCTCTTCTTCCAAGTCAGCAAGAAAGAGCAGGTGGAGGTGCAGCAGAACTAGAACTGCCGGCACCCCCCACGCGAACATCTCAGCTACACCCATGGCCCCCGCAAAATGGCTTGAACCTACAGCGCGCAAACCTGGTGGAAAGTTTAAGAAACATCTGCAAAGGCATGAGCGTGCGAAAACCACTGCATCCTTTTCAGCACACCCCAGGTTATCATCAACGCGTGTGGCCATGTACCACAGCGACAAAACTAAATGCAAGTCTAGGCAAAACGGCGCCGTTTCAGCTCCGCCATTGACATGCCCTCCAAGAGAGACGATCTGTCGTTTGACATCATCCAGGCTGAGCAAGCCTCTTTGTAAGTGCTTCCTTCTTGCCTTCTTGCCTTGATGAACTCAAGGCGTTGCGCGTTGAAAGAGTTGGCGGCGTAGGTGGGTTTCTGCTCGGCCTCCTGTAATACACCCTTCTCCGTCCCACCATATTGAGGAAGAGCCTCACAGAGTTCTAATGCTTTCTCTTCCTCAGGGCCAACCAGCTCACGTTTCTTCGCTTTCTTCTTGGGAGCTTTCTGAGCTTTCTTCTTTCCCGATTTCTTGGCAGCCCTAGTAGCCTTCTGCTCCTCTGGCTCGACCATTTCTGCATCATCTTCTCCACCAACGGTCGGAAAGGGAGCGATTGGCTTCGAAGCACTCTCCTCCAAGGACTTCAGCACAAATCCGGGCAATCTGCAATTGTCCGACCGAGCAGGCGTGGGGACTGGCCGATCCAAGGGCAACTTAGCAGCTGCCACAGCCACCGGTGCTTCTTCCAAGGCAGTGCCGCTTGGGTTGGAAGACTCGCTTCTCTTTTCTTTGAGGGCCGCAACTTTGGCGGCCAGCGCCGCCCAGTCAAATTTTGGTAGAGTCACAGCCTGCAAGTCCTCATGTGAAGCCGCCCTGGTCGACGCATCAGCTTCAGGCTGGTCAACCAATCCTCCGCATCTACCTTTAAGTTCCGCAATCTTTTTGGACTTGGCCCCTTTTGGGCTTTCAGCAAGCAGCTTTCTGAATCGACATGTGACCTTTCGAAGGCCTAAGGCCATCTTGGCCGCCCACTGTTCCAAACATTCAAGGCTAATACCCGTAGGCACCAGCCGCTGGTCCACATAGAACTTTTGGATACTCTCCGACAACACTGCCTCCGATAGTCTGCCCTTGAGGCACACGGACAGCACGGCATAAATTGCCTGACACAAGATTTCTCAATTGAGCTTGAGCGCGGCTAGTTGTCCAATCCCCTTCCCGGCCTCTGTGTTTTGCTCTATGTCCTTTCTCGTAGCTTCGCCTTTTCCAAACAGGCCCTCACTGTGGGCTTGAATGAAATTGAAGTGCACCTTAGACCGGAGGAGCCAGCAGTCCAAACATTAGATCCATGCAGAGGCAGTGAAACTTAAGCGTGGCACAGTCTTGAGGTGGTCTTCCCGGCTGAAGGCTTCTGCATACTTTTCTACCAGCTGCGGGTCGTCCTCTAATTGCTTCAGGGTCCGCGGCATCAAGAAAGGCGGGTATTAATTGGGATGCAATATTGGACCTCAAACCTGCGTGATCAGGTGATAGCGTGGATGAACGCACACATTACACATAGCACCGGGGGCACTGGATGAGGAGTAATTCTCCCACCAACGATGCTTACGGAATCCCTGCGTATAGAATCAGTCACGAGCAACATGATTCACAAACATGTGGGGATGACGTGGACATTGATTGGACATTAGTACTACATGAAAATGTATATAAAAAGTTCGTGCGCGTGAGCCGGCAATGTCGTGAACACATGAAATCAAACTGCACTCATGACATGAACACATACATGAAACATTATGAGACCCAACATGGCATGAACACATGACACCATGAAACCCAAAACATGAACTAGCATGAGCGCGTGAAACTATAGCACATGACTTGAACACACATGAACACATATGAGCTCATGACATGAACAAACATGAACGCATGACAAGATCATGTGCAAAAACATCTCATGAACACATGCGCGCATGACCACACAACATCTCATGAACCAACATGAACACATGACATGGCGCGACCCTTGACATGACATGAACTAAAGAAAGGTATTGTCTGAAC